TGCCAAAACAAGATGCTTTTAGCTATAGCATGAAGCATGTTAAGGTAAATGAGTAGTCAAGATAAGAATTATCACCCCAAGTGAATTAGGGAACATATCTTAACTGTTCTTGGTTGATATTAACTTCTTGAAGTCCTTGGCCAAGGTGACTTAAAGATTATAAAAGAAGTTTTATAAGTTTTTATAAAGCTAATGATTAAACTTTAAGAACAAAAATGAAAACCAATAACAGTAAACACTGAACTATAGTCTTATCATCTCCAAGATATATGATGAGAGAATAAATTACATTGAAAGGTTGATCACTAAAAGGTTAAATCAAACCATCTTGACTCTTTTAACATTTGGGTGGCCATGATGGATTGCTAGATCCCAATCTTGGTTTATGAACTCTAAGTAGTTGACTTGATTAATGATAAATTTAAAGTAGTTTAAATTTATCTAATTCTAAGTTTAACTTAAGAATTATATGTTAAATTTATTGCTAACATGTTTCAAGCCTAATGGGTCATATACCTAAAATGAATGTTGAAAATAAAATGGGAGAGGTGATTAAGTTGGACTTAATCAAATTAAAAGTTATGAGCTTCTCAAGCACTTGATTAAAATTATTTAATAAAGTTATGCCTAATTAATTAAATTATTAAGCTTAATTAATTAAATTATTTAATTAAGTCATTTGGCCTAATTAATTAAATTTATTTAATTAAGTCATTAGACCTAATTGATTAAAATTGTTTAATTAAATTATTGAATTTAATTAATTAAATTATTTAATTAAGTTATTGAGCCTAATTGATTAAATTAAACAATTAAGTTAACTGGGCTTTTTAAGAACTTAATTAAATTATTTAATCAAATTAATGGATTAATTGATAATTATAAAATAGCTTTGCAATTAGGGTTTAAAATTAATCGAAGGTATAAACACCTTACTAACCTTACTATACTATAGTCTCAAACAAAAATAAGAAAGAATGGTGAAAAATTAAAAGAACAGTCCATTAGAAATTCCTTTTGCCTTACCGCTCTTTGTGTGAAGAAAAAATAGTTTTTCATTCACTTGATTTCTCTATTATGTTCAGCCTCAAAATTTTGTATGGATTATGAGTTTATGAAACTCATCTTTGCTAGCATATTGTCAAGGTATAGCACTCTTAATCCTTTAAAAAAAATTTTCTAATTCATTAGTGTGAATCACTATTAGAGGTAGTACAAGGACTTCTTGGATAGCTTTGGTTTACAATAACCAAGTTAGGGTGGTTGAGCTTTTTGAAGGCTGATTTGGTGGTTTAACAAAAGATTCATCAACTTTTGTTATTTAGGTAAAGTGATATGATCTTATGTATTTGTTTTTAATTTAATTCTGTACTCAATTTGGCATGAAAGAAATCCTAAAAGGATGAGGCGTAATTTAATTTTTTAAATTTTTTTATTGCGTTTTATTTGTATTTGATGCATGATTATTCTTCACCCAACACTTTTAACCAATGCCATACAACTGTCTTTCTATTATCTAGATTACTTGTCTCATTCCATGCATTGATGAACATACCCTTAAAGCTCGTCTCATCAAGCCAGAAGTGGAAAAATGTGAAGGGCTTGGGCCCCCATTTGGCTTTCTCAATACAAAGTGAAATGGGGTTGTGATCAAATAGAGAGCAAAAGAGACAACTTTGAATCAGATTAGGGACATACTTTGTAACTTTTGTAGCAACTAGAAAACAATTGAGTTTGTTGTAAATGACATTCTTCATGAAATTGCACTAAGTAAATCTTCCACCCGAAAAAGGTAAATCAATAAGTCCAGAATCAACAATGAAATTGTTAAAGTGACCCATTTAGCTATCCAAATGAATTCACCCAGACCTTTCTTCAACAATCCTAACCGCATTGAAATCGCTACCAATACACCACATAATGTTCCTTGAGTTCAGAATATTAAAAAGCTCATCCCAAAATTCTTGACGTTCCCCTTGTCACTTGGTGCATAAAGATTCACAAGTCCACATTCCACATTATATAACTTCAATTTACCAATGATAAGGACATACCTTCTATTTGTCATTCTACAGTCAACCTCAAAAAAACTATTACTCCAAATAAAGATAACCTTTGAAGCCCCAAGCAAATTTGCCACTACCCAACTAGAGTCTTCTCTACCCCTCAATTTTTCAATTACTCTATTGCTTAAGTCCTACAAGTTAATTTCTTGAAGAAATAGAAATTCAGGTTTGTATTTTTAGGACAAAGATCTCACTGCACGAATCTTGTCAAAGCACCCTAATCCTTTTACCTTCCAAGATATGGCAAGCATAAAAATAAAACTTGGACAACCATACACTACAAACATTTGACTTCAACATTTCCTTAACAAAGATAAATGGGCACTTACCAAGTGACGTTTTGACGTGAAATTAGTCTTGCTTATTCGCCTTCTTGTTTAACAAAAACTTTACCTATCTCTGCATCATAAAAATCAAACTCCAAATCTACTTTTGTACCGATGTAAAGAGTTTCCTCAACCTCCTTTATGACAGCTTCATTTCATCTAGCAATGTCGCTGTTAGATACTGGCTTAATTGAAATCTCAAACTTATTTTTACAATTCTTGACTCTTTTTTTGGTCACTTTCCTACCCCTCCATTTGGTGACTACCACCCTACACGGAGTAACATGGCTCTTTGTTAGCTAATTGGAGTTGTTGAAGTGTCTTTCATTAGTAAGCATAATGGGGGTTCACCAATTGCCAATAGAATCAACATCAGCATTCAAAACATCTTCTCTCCCAACTCTTTTTTTTTCCCCAAATGTTGTTAATCTTGGATCAAGAATTACAGTATTCTCCACCAATTCTCTGGAAAACTCATCTAAGGAAAAGCAAAATCTAGGCTTGTTCTCCATTATTTCTCGACTAGTGTTAAAAACCCCATCAATAGAGCCATTTACAAGCCTAGTTGATCTTGTAGCCATGTTCGTTTAATAGGAACTTATTGCAGATTCATCTAGTCTTTGAGCCTAGTCTTTCTCCACCACATTTATGAGCTTGGTATGCATTAGATAGATAAGCTTGGAACCTCCTGATCTAGTGATCAATTCTTAACGTGTTCTGTTTGGCCACAATTCACTCTCGACACGCCTACATTTTTAATTTGGTGCTCTACCAAACCTCATTTGAAATTCAAATTCAATTTGCAAATTGGCCCATCTAAGTTTGGACTCGCCTGACTCAATGGTTTACCTATTGCACCACCATTTCCAAACGAGTAGGCAACTGATTGAATTGAGCTATGGTTACTACAAACGTTAAAGGAGATTAAATGTATCTATTAACTATCATCATTGTTGTCAATCAAGAGATGTAACTTAACTAGACATCCATTAGTAAAAAGTTCAACATCATTTGGAATTCTTGCCTTATCTTCCACCATGATTAAAATCCTAGCATAGTCAAGCCTCTCCAGTCTGCTAGTGATTACTACTTACTTTGATGACACTACCCTATAAGCTCCCAATATAATGGCAAACATCTCTATGCCAAAGATGAATTGGTAGATTCTCAATTCTAACCCAAACAACTATTTTGAAACCAAAGGAATAAGGGAGATGAAGTCAAACCAAGTGTTAAATAGATTAGAGTAACCACCAAGGATGATCTTCATTGCATCTGGGCTATTAAATGTGATTAGTACCATTAACCCACCAAGTGCTCTAATCGTAATTGGGATACCTTCATTGAGTAGCCTAAATTGTATAAGATTAAGAGGAACTAACTCCCTCATAGACACAGTCCCACTCCGCTTCACTTATTCCATTTCACTACCCGGAATGCTAATGTTGACAGCTATGAGATCCTTTCTGTTTATCTCAACCCAAGCAATACGAGAAGGGTCTACTTTTTGACAGTGTTGTCATCATCCCGCTATTGACCTGTGCAAAGGGCTTCCTTGAATGATCTTATGGTACTCGAAATAGCTTGAATCCTACCTTTCTACTAGTTGGCCAGCCTTTGGTTCTCCAATCTTTTTGGCTTAGCCAGTTTGTCTAAAAGTGCTCAATTGACAATCACATTAAATACATTAATCAGTCTCCCATCAGCTTGTGCTATTGCCCTCCATATCTCTTCCACAATTCTATATCGAACAAATGCAAATGATGGCCTTTCATTCCTTATTAATCGATTGGGCTTCTAGATGAAGATTTCAACAACAATACCAAATTCTTGGAAAATGTCAGTCAGTTGCTTCCAAGCAACGTTAGGGTCTAGATTTCCCACATAGACAAAGAAAAGCCTACTCTCGCATCGCTTGAAGTCTTATCCCCACTCTTTCTTGCCTCAATCATTACCTGAATGAACGTGCTATCTTCCATGTAGCCTTCTGTTGTCTCTCATTACTCTCTAATCTATGAGTCTAAATAAAATTTAACTAAACCCTTATGATTTTATTATATTCAATCAAGTTTTTGTACTTTTATTCTTGATCAAATAAGTTTTTATAACTAATAATTGATTAATTATTACTAATCAAAACGTCTCTTATCATTTTATACTCACATGTCATTAATGTGGAATGTGAGAAATACAATAAGACTATGTCATCATGCCATATCATCGTCTATTATGATATGTCAATATATCACGTTAGTTTCATGTTAATATCATATAATATAGAATAACAAATAATATTTTGATTAAGTTAATAAGTAACCCTAAAGACTTTTTTGACTCAAAATCAAAATATAAAAATTTATTTGATTCAAAATAAAACTATAAGAATTTAATCAAATGTATATAAAAACATAAAAATTTATTTAAATTTTTTAAAATAACTTAAAATTTATTTTAATTATTGTATTAAAAGAAATTATTCTGCTTAGAGAATAAACTACATTGACACAAAATTGTACGCGCAACTTATGTTGGAATGAGAACTGAAAACCGACGGTCACACCACAATGGGCCTGATGGTTGCGACGTCGTTTGGTATTTCCACGCCATATCTAGCAAAAAGGCCACCTCGGCAATCTCTCAGCTAACAGCTTCTGTTCATTCATCAAAACCATTTTTCTCCCGAAAAAAAGAAATTTTTTCCTCTAATATTTTAATCAAGTCCCCGCTGACAAACCCTAATATATCCTCCATTTTCTTCACAGGTTTCGATTCCTCTTCCTTTTTCGTCTTCTTTTTTAATTTTATTATTTGATTAACATTTAAAACAGAAACTTAGGACTCAGATTTTTCCCATATAAACTTTGTTGAGTCGTAAATTTTTGCTTAATTACCTATTTTGATTGCAGACAGAACGGTGTAGAAGCAGAGAAAAGAACTGAAGATTTTTTTCTCAATCAGACCGCGTTAATAGTTGAATTGTGCTCAAGTAAGAAGAAAAAAGAATTAACTTTTTCTTACTGTTTGACATTTGCAATTCAGGTTCTTTTAGCTAATTTATGTAAATTTATGGTTTTGATTTTTTTTTTTCCTTTTTGTATGTGTTTGTCTGGTTTTGTGTTTTGTATGCGAAATTTATTGAAGGGAACTTAATGTTGCATTGGAAATAGTTTATTAAAATTTTCAAGTTGGTTTTACTGGAATAAGGTTTCTAGTGTTTTGGGCGTTGGCGTGTGATCAGAAATTGAGTCGTTTCAGTTCGTCTGGAATTCCTGGGCCCCAATCAAGAACAATGGTTGCTTGATTGTTTAATTTCTGCCACAATAATTTACAACGTCATGTTGATTCTATATGCTGTTGCCATATTTTTTTGTTATGAGAATTTATGTTGGCAGCTTTACTGTATGGATTAGGGGATATTAATATGATGGTTCAAAAAAGGTCTGTTAATCTGCACTCTTGATTAAAGCTTAGGAAAACTAGATTACATTATGGACTTCTTTGCATCTGTTTCTTGGCATCTTACTTGTGTTTCATCTAAACTATGTTGAATAGTTGAATGGGAGGCTCAATTGAGCTGCATCTTGTTTCCTTTGGTTATTCATTATGAAAAATCCTTTGGATCCATTAGCACATGTCATGTGGCCAATTTATTCTTTTCCTGTCCGTAGGACATCACATATATTTCATTAAGACTGATTAACAGATTCTGTGTTAAAAATGTTAATGTATACTAATTCTGTTATCAGTATCATATTTATAAAAGCTGACTATAGAATGATTCAATGGTGTTATGTCTTCCCTGAACAACTTAGAATGGCTGGGAGAAACCGCATTCCTCGTGAAGCCTTCAATGACCGGCGTGGATTCCCTCCCGAAAGACCTTTCCTTCGTGGTCTTCCTTTGCCTCAGCCACCTCCTCATCCTGTGTTGTTGGAGGAAGAACTTGAAATGCAGCATGCAGAAATTCGGAGGCTTTTGACTGATAACCGCAGGCTGGTAGAAGATCGAATAGCTATACAACAAGAGCTTGGTGCTGCAAAGGAGGAAATTCATCGTTTGAATCTTGTCATTGGTGAAATTCGTGCAGAACAAGAAGTGCACTCAAGGGAACTTATTGAGAAAGGCTTGAAACTGGAGGCAGATATCCGTGCAACTGAGCCATTGAAAAAAGAGTCTGTCCAACTACGTACAGAAGTTCAGAAACTGAAAAATGTTAGGCAGGAGCTAACTGGCCAAGTTCAGACCCTCAAGCAAGATGTTGCCAGGTTGCAAGCTGATAATCAACAAATACCTATTCTAAGGGCAGAAATTGATGGCCTGCACCAGGAGTTGATGCATGCAAGGTTTATACCTGAATTCTCTCAGCCTTCTCTTTTTTAAATTTTCCAGATGAAATGAACATGCTTCCTTTCCATTGAGCATTTAATTTGCAGCTCCACTTGCTATTATAGCCAATCATATTTTTTTAATGCTAAACTCAGAATTTATTTCATAGGACTGCTATTGATTATGAAAAGAAGGCAAACATTGAGCTGGTGGAACAGAGACAAGCAATGGAGAAGAACATGGTCTCTATGGCACGTGAAGTTGAAAAGCTACGTGCAGAACTTGCTAGCGTTGATGGTAGACCATGGGCTGCTGGTATGACCTGTCTCTCTTTTATGTATCTGGTTGAAGTTTTTCCTTCAAATGTGAGTAGTGTGATGTTTGTTGTTTAGTATGCTGGCTTTTCAGTAGCTTTGGTCCCTTTGGTCCCTTTGGTTAAGGATATGTTTCACACGTCTTTGTTTTTCTAGATTTCTTTGTTTCCTGTCACCATTCTGAAAGGATTTTCTAACCTTTTCCTACCAAGCCTAGTTGCATATAATCTGTGAGAAAAATTCTCAACTGTTCATTCAACCTTCGTATCTTTCTGGTATGTATGGGGGTCCATTGTACCTTGGACTATCATCTTCTCTCATCTCATAAGTGTCTTCCCCGCTGCCCCCCTCTTTTTTTTAATTTCAAAGGTTTGAATTTGAGACATTAAAGTGGGAAGTCTGAAGTTCGAATGGTTGGGGTGTCTCTCTTGGGGTGTCCATTCAACCTGCATTGGTGTTTCCTTATTGATATTTCTATTTTGGGTAACCCAAATTTGTTAAGATTTTGCCATGGTCTTTTGATATGCTCAATTTGAATGATAGTTACTACATTTTTCTCCCCCCTTTCTTCCCCACTTCTTCATGTCTAGAGCTCATAACATAACGGATTAGTTGATATTATGGATCGTCTCTGAAGCATCAGTGTTTTTTGTTGCTTCTGATCTCAATGTCTTAATGTATGATTGCTCAAGGTGGACCATATGGGATGAAATTCAACAGTTCTGACAGTGCTTTTCCTGCTCCATATGAAGGATATGGCATTCATCTGGTATTTATGCTCATCTTCTTGTTTGAATTTGCTAGTTTGACCATAAAGCTATAACATCAGGCTTGTAATTTTTTCAGTTAAACATTTGTTTTCACTTAACAGGGTGTTGCTGACAAGGGTCCTTTCTATGGTCCCGGTCCTGCTTCTTGGGAGAAGCCTCGCATGACTCGTCGCTAGGAGAGTTATTGCTTGCTGGAAGGAAGGAAGCGTTGCTACTTTCAGCTGCCACTTGTGAAGTGCAAATGTTGATCAGCATGGAGTTCATCATCTATGTGTGCATGCCACATCAGTAACTTTTATCTAATTACATTGTTAGTCATCTTAAACTTCTTATATAAGATTCTATGTTGCTTTTTGTTAATTGGTAGTGGAAGTGGTGTCCCTTATATATACATGAGATCGTAATATGATAATTTGGACTTTTAGTGGGTCCAATTCTTCATTGTCAGGTTTTTTTTTTTCTTTTTGGTTGATTGTTTTTAGATCATTATTTTTAGCCCTTTTGCTTGATTATAACTAATATTTCTTTGGGTAGAAGTGCTGGTAGTCGTCTTGGGTCCATTTGAAATTCATGGCCTATGAAGGAAGCTTTTGGTTACAACTTACAGGTTGATATACATGCTACCTCTTTGACCAATTTGGAAAAATTCCTTGAACAAGTTGTGTGTGATAGTAGATTAAAGAGGGATGCAATGAAGTTATGCCTAGCTGCAGAAAGATAATGTAATGTCCGATGGGATGGAAACTCTATGTTTTAGTCTTAATATAGATTATTTTAGTTACTAGGCTGTTGCGTGCAACACTTGAATGCTAGTGTTTTGGTGGAGGGCGTATTTCTCATGAAACTTGGAAGTTATCACTCTGTGGATATCATTGGAGGTTGATATGTTAATCTTGAGTGCACATTATTCTATGTGGATGAATAGGGTATTGTGTACCACGGTAGATCGTGGTTCTGAAGATGTGCTCTTTGAGTATTTAATCTTGGCAGCAGAAGTGGGTGGAAGGATATTTTTCAACTTGTTTCAAAGTGTCACTTTATGGACGACGTTGTTACTTGATCTGTTGATTTTGAATGCATGCTATTCTGAGATGAATTGGATACCTTGAACCTTTGTAGAATCAAGATCTGCGGTTTTGGTATGTAATTCAGGAGACTATAAATTGCATTTTTACCAATACAGAAATTCCTGAGAATGAATTCTTATCTCTCAAGTGATAAGGACATTCCATTGGAGGATAGTGAGAAGGATCTCATGCTCTAGAAGTAAATTGTCTAGAGTATTCATGAGTTGCCTTTTGTCTGCTCGTATTAGCTCTTATTTCTTGATGTCTGCTGTTGAAATATATGAAGTACGGTTGCTTGCAAATTTTAGTGGTTTTGGTTTTAGGTAACTGGTGTTCTCCTTGCTAGCTACTCTTAAGGGAGAATCATCTGTCTTAAATTTACTGTAAAGTGCCTTTGTGCATCCATTATGCCTTGGTAACCATAGTTATATGGTTGTGTCTGAAGCTTGGAGGTGCAAGTGTTATAGGGAATTTACAAACTGGCATGGTGTGTGTGAGCAGGGATTTGTTTGGGTTTCTTTTTTGGAATAGTTTTTATATTATTTTCCTTTTTGGAAGATATGACATGGAAAACTGGTGTGAGAGTTTTTTTTTTTTTTCTTTTGGTTCTTATGGTCTTTTGAGAATGTGCTGAAGAGCAAGACCCTAAAGGCTTCTGACTGTTAATGGATTTTGGCTCGAGGTATCTTGGATGGAGAAAGTATTAATCTTTGATACAGTCCACAGAACTACATATAATTTCTTCTGATGGTGAAAGTTATAAAAATGGGCTCAGCCATGAAGAGTGGGCCAATATAAACATTTGTCTGTGCAGTGTTACTACTCATCCTGAGTTTTAGTTAACATTTTCTTGTAAGTTTATCAGAATTAAAAGAAAGTTTAGCTCATCAAAAATGAACCTTAGTGTTCAACTAGTTTTTCCACTTTTTAGGTGATTTATGATAGGGTTTGATCACATTCTATAATTGAGGGATTTGTAGTATTAAGCTGATGGAGTGTGTGGTATATATGAGGTAGAACATGTTTTACATAGAGAAAAGGGTTTAGGATATTAGTCCATTATCGGATGCGCTTTGCCAAAAATGTCCCAGTGCCATGGGAATATCCTTTGAAGCACACATAACAATTGAATACAAAAATCCCAGCGCCTTGATTGGATGATGGATTTCAAAATTCGCCCTTTGATTAAATCTCATACCCCATCATCTGCAGTTATATACCATGTCCATAGCATCATCTGCAGTTTGTTCTGGTGCAACTCTTCAGCTCTGCTATCATTTTTTGTCCTGCAAAGTTATCAGTGGTCAAGATATTCCAGCCACCTACATGATTACAAGTGGCTCCGTTATGCATTGAAAATATCTGAAGGATGATGGGCAGGCCATGTGGAAGAGGCTCACCACTGATCTGTACTTACGTAGGCAAGTTTTCTGTCTTTGTTGTATGAGCTCCATGGATCTTCAATTTGATGTTCATTTTTAAGTTGAACTTTCCTGACATGCTGTCTTAATGTTTCCTATCTCTTAATTTGGCATTTTCTGCTTCATATAGATAGACCTTTATGCTAATGCTCACATCAAAGCTCATTACTAGTATTGATTTATTGCTGTAGTCAATGATTAGTATTTTACTTTTTGGTTTTTTTTACAAAGCTCCTGTGGGATTAAGTGGTTGCGCCTAGTAACATTGTCATTGCAAGAATTTCTTGAGCCTTGTTTTTGTACTTGTATTGCAATTTGTACCTCATATTTGTTTAATTAGGTCTCAGGTTGATCTATATATAGGTAAACAAGTAGATATGCGTTTGTCATTTACCAAGGATTTGGATGAGGATAAGGTCCTGCAAACAAAATTTCAAAGGGTAATAATCATTCTATCAGGCTCTTGTTTGTACCAGTTCGTGGTGAAACGTACCATTGCTTAATGTGCCAGGCTTAGAAATCTTGGATTGGCAGTGAAAACGTCTTATTCTGAGTGCTCAAGGATGATAGAACCAATTTCCATTGCTTAATGTGCCAGAATTAGTAATCTGGGATTAGCAGTAGGAAAAATCTTATTCTGAGTTCTCAAGGATGATAGAAGATGTTAGGTTTGACCCATTTGGTTGGATAACTCTAGATCTATATGATTTACTTGAAAGTAGACACTTCACAATTAAATATTCGTGAAAATTTGGTGCAGAATTTATATATCGTGTAGAAGGGAAGACAAATGGTGTCACTGCTGAGGATGGGTGTTTCACCATTTTAGTGGGAAGGAGTTTGCAAAGCAACAATCTTTTAGTTTATCTAAGAATGACTTGAGTCGCTTCCTTTAATGGTTCTCTAATTAGATAAGATATTTTGAATGTCATGGAGCACTCATATGGAGAACATCTGTTGGGAGTGATGAATCATTTCACAGAAGCTAAATTTTTGTTGGCTCCATGAAATTATTTTGATGCTAGGCTGTTAGAGAAGTGAAAATTTTGTGTTCTATTTCTAACTACATATTGCTATATTATTTTTTAGTTAATGAGATCAAGGTATAAATCATTTTGTTTTTATAGCTTATTGATAGGAGAAAGTACTTGTATCCATATATACTGATCTCATCCAACAATAGTTTCCCTATTTTTCGATTTTCTTTCCTGCATTGTGATAACAATTGGAAGAGAAATAGTTCTGTTTACGTAAATTTGTACTTGAGCATTGAGCTAGCTTGAACAAAGTTGCTGTTGCATTCCTTCATGCAATTGAAGGTATTTGAAGAGTCAAATTGTGGCTGGCCACAAATTGTTAATTATGGTCATCTTATTAGTAAGATGCTTGTGTGATTGTGAAAGTGGGGACAGGAATAGCCCGGGTTGCTGCATTGCTTGCAAGTTTTTTATACCAGTTAATAAAAAATGTGTTGTTTCATTTAGATCGCTTTGATGGTAAATAAAAAATTGTTGCTTGTTTACCACACATAGAAAGAAGCTTGTTACAGTGTATTCAATAAATTTCCTTATAGTTGAAATTGATATTTCAATTTCTAGATTCCTCCTAATTTATTGTTTTAATGTTTGCAGATGGGAAGCTGTTATACTTCATGCAGAAAGGTAAAGAAAGAAGATCAGGTATATCTTAAATGAGATTGAGGAAATATTTACATGTGCTTCCAGACGAATTGGAAGGAGGAAAAGGATAACTCTGTCTGCATGTGTGTGTTCATTGGTCTACATGCATTACAATCTTAAAGGAGATGCATGGAACTTTGTTGTATGATTTTGTTTACTTTTTCCGTGCAGTGAGAGATGGGGAGGGGATATTGGAATTCATAGGCTACACAATGACAGCCAGCACTTTCAGTTCTGTAGCCTATGGCCTCCTTCCCCATTCCTTTTTGGGGTCTCCTGCAATCTCTAGTGATGGCAGGACTAGATCGCAATTCCTTGGTATGATCAAGCATGGACATTGTCATATAAGCTTGTTTCACAGCCAGCATTGCCATCAATGTTTTATAGTCTTAGTTATCTCTGGTTAGGTGGAATGTCCAACTAGCCTAGAACTTGCTAACATCTCCTAACCTTCTTTTCTCCTTTTGGGTGGTTCATTTGTGAAACAATCTTTGAGAAGGATCTTTCTATTTTGAAAGAGAAAGCTTTGCCCACCACTGATTACTAACAACTACCAAGCACCAGATTATATGCCTGCACTAACTAATTGTATTTGTTCTACACTCTGGAATGATACTGTGTTATGTTTGTGAAATATTAATGTAGGTGATAGCTATTATGATTTTCCCATTTTAAGCAAGCATGCGTGTTTGAGTAACAGATAAGATGTCTTGCTCCAGGATTAGCACTGGAAGTAGTGAAGTGCATTGTGTCATGCATAATCTTTCTATGTCAAATATTGATGCCACAGAGCCCCCTAGCCTGGTGAATTGAGGTGTGGTGTCATGTAGACACTCTAGTTTTGCCACTTTTGATTGCTCAAGCTGATGCAATGCTGTAACTAGAAGACATTTTACCTCTTGGCTCTCTGGATTAATATTGAGATGGTCTTGTAACAATAGGCAATATATATTTCTTGTCTATTTGAAAATGATGCTGGTTATGGGATTTTAGTTTTTAAAATTAAAGAAAAAAGTCTATAATCCTACATTTATGGTTTTGATTTTTCTAGCTTGTTTATTGTGTGTTAATTCCTTTTTGACTTTTGAGGTCTGGTGTAAGGCTTTAAGCAATGAAAATTTGTAGCCAACAGTTTATGTGTATCCTCCTGTTTAGTTAGGAGATAAAATTAATTATTAAAAAAGGTATTGTTTGTAAAATAGAATATACAAATGAATTTGAAAAAATAAAAAAACAATCATGTAAAATTTGGGTCAGATTTATAATATTTAAAAAAAGAAAGGATGGCAAACGTAGGTTCGGCTATTCCTGATCATAAGATCGGGTAATTTTGTACTCGGTAGTTAACTCACTATTGATTTGGCTTTATCGAGCACTAGATTTGTTCACTCACTCGCAGCCTGAAAAACGCTAATGATCTGGAGGACGTATTCCTCTTTTCCGTTTCTTAATTGCTTAAACTTAAAAGATTAAGACCAGCGTCTACCTCACTCGGGAAATGCTTGGCTTAACACATCTCTTTAAGCTTTCGTTAGGTGATAAACGTGGAAGTGGGGGCCGTCACATTTGGGAAAAGGAGAAAAGTGAGGGAAGCACAACCATGGTGGTAAATAGTTGGTAACAATGAATATTCAGAACGTTCAATTTGACAAAAAGGCCTTCAACGAGGAAACCAAGAAACGATGCACATAAATTTTTTACTTGATCATATGCACCGTTATATTTCCCTCTTCTCCTAAAAATAAAAAATAAAAAGTGACTAAGAATGTATTGACAGTCTCTGCTGACAAAGAATTAGAGCTATGCATGGAGTTCGGCTCGCCTGAATCAGGTAGCGGCACCCCAAGCAGCAGTGGGGCTGAAGCAATTGTTGAGCCCAAGTAAAACAAGCTCTTGGCCATTTTAATGGAGGCACTGCCCCTCGGCTTTCAAAACTGCCCTTACTAGAAAGGAGCCCAACTCGTCGGTCACCAACTTCAGTGTTTGAAAATAAAACTCGGAAACACTGTTGTGATGTTCCTAGCACATGAACAAAGCTAGACAAGGGAAAAAGGTCAAATGAGGATAGAAAATCTCTTGAAATTATTAAAGAAAAACATGATTTTGTTAACAAATTCCAAGTGCTGGATTAATTAACAATGCACCAGAAACAAGCCATTCGTATGGGACACATCAATTTTATTTTAGTAGAAAGAGTCAAAGACCCGCAGTGTCAAGATTAGTGAAAAAAGCATCCCAATTATAACTCAAGTATTACACATGGTCAAGTTGAGAATGAATAAAGGCACAAACGGAATAGACACAGAATTCGAAAAGAGTTGAGGAGATAACTTATAATTATAAAAATTACCCTATCCAGAATAAGATTCTGCCCTGCTTGATTTCTTAAGAGTGCCAATCGAAGCTCTTCCTTCAAATAATAAAAAGTAAAATTAAAAATAATAAGAAAATGTGTTGATTCAATTTCAACTTTGGTAATGCTTAAAAGAATTAATCTTAGAAAAACAAAAGTAATATTTTAACCTTATGAATGAGGCCATCATCAATAATTGAGCAGCTCAGCTTCTTATACAGTTCGTGCAATGCTTCCACTTCGTTTGCACTGAGTGTGAAGTTTTAAATCAATCAAACGAAAATTAAGTTCGGAAAAACAGGTAGATAAATATATTTACTAAATAATCGGAAATGATAATATATGCTAATTCATAGACGAGGAGAGTTGTCCAAGAGTCAAGCGATGTTGTGGAAGGAGCAGCGGAGTAGTCGTGGAGTTTGATGAAGATGGAAGTAAGAAGCTAAGCTGAAGATGAGAGTTTCGATCGGTTCGGTAATTGGTACGAACTTGGTGCATGGTATCATGAATTACGTTTTTTCACGTAAGTATACAATAGTTCGTGCAATGCTTGAATAGATGCTCTCACGCAAGTTAATCAATACTCAGTTATTTCTTATCAAACATCAATAATAACAATAAATCAAACTAAGACAATGCACATCAAAATCATAGAACATATCAAATGTCATATATGCAATTACTGAGCTATAAAAAAAATATTTTATTAATATGAAAATGAGTACAAAAAGATTAAGACACGCCATCTTCGGGTCATTACAATGTTTATAATATGAAAATAGGGGTAGTCTTAGATGATTCGCTATAAACATAACTTTACTAGTGAAACAACCCAACAATACGTCGACTACTCACACCTTATAAAGAGTTTACGAGATTTTACATGTATTCTACTAATAACCATTACAACACTTAATATTAGGACATTTTTTTCTTAAAACCCTAATAAGTATTTTTAAATATATCACCACGAGTTATTACAATGTTTGAAATGGAACATTTCCCTTACAAGTACAAAAGATTTAATCTTTAAATAACTCTACCTTATCATAGTTCGATACAAGGTTGACTCATGACAAATAGCCTCTCCTCCATTAATAATTGTTACAAATATGTTTTTAAAAATTTTAATTTTATTTTTATGAACTAAATTTAATGTATTAATTTAATTTTCATTAATAATGTATATATAATTTAATTTTAAATTTATTTTAATCGAATATGTAACAAGTAGCATCTATTCTAATACGTTTTCCAATAGAAATTTTAAAATTTAATTGGATATTTGCAAGTTTTGAATACCATATTAAATAATCGAGTTTAGATTAAGATACTTAAGAAATAGTCCGTACCATATTCGTTGATACCTCTATACATAATTTAAATTCATCACTAAGTAGGGATATGAAAAATCTATAAATTTTCAAAATAATAAAACAAAGTAACTTTTCTTGAATTCTATCAAATAATTCAATATAAATTTTAAATTTGATTTTTTTTTATAAATTTAAATGGACAAACGCAGCTTTAGAGGAAACTAACTTTATCTTAAATCAAATTAAGAGTAATTTCATATGGTCTGAAAAACATTTACTTTTTTTTTTTTTATAAGCCATAAGAAGAAAGAAATTTACTTACGAAAATGCTTTTATAATTGTGTTGTATAAGTTTATATAGAGCCACTATAACATTCTTAATTCTAATAGTATTGAATAATTTATAAATTTATATTATAATATTTCTAGTTTTTTTTTTTAGTTCAGAAGCTTTATACTTTACAAATATTTCTACATATATATATATAATTATTATTTAAAATAAATAAATAAAATATTGGCACACAACGTAACATGGTAGCAAATATTCATCCTTACAAGTTTTAGTTTCCCAAAATCAAGAAGAACCTAGTAGATAGAAATTTAAAGCCAATATTATTTTTCTTTTTTTTTCCTTGAACAATCATGGCCTTGGAAGATTTATTATTGAAAGGGTTATTTCATCTAATTTGAAAAAAAAAATAGACAAATATTGTCATATAATAATAGCTTCAGACAAAAATAACAAGAATTAATTTGATAAGAAGAGAATAATGTTTGTTGTGAAAATAGTAAATTTATCTCAAATTACATAAATTTACGATAACATAAAAATTTACGCGATTTAATTTTTTAATAATTGAAATTTAGGGGCACGACAAAACCAAAAAGAATTAAAACCTAACAAAATATGAATGATATAAATTTTATATATTAATTATCTAGCTATTTTCCAAGTTGTGAAGTGATCCTGTTGAACCAAGAACTAAGTATAAAACAAAATAACTAAAAAGAAACTTAATCCAACGTTTTTAACTTTTCCCATCTGGACAAGCAGAAGCCAATGTTTATCATAACACAAACCCAATCACTCGAATGCCCACTGGTTCTCCCTCCTAATCTCCTCTTCTTCCTCAGGGGTGAAATCATTCTCAATGTTGAAGGTCTTGCGAATCTCCTCAGGCGTCTTTCCCTTTATCATGTCAGCAACGGTTTGGCAAATCAAGTCCAACAAGCTCTCGATGTTCAAATAGTTGGCAGCCAAGATGAGGTGATAGAGGATATTTTGGTCAACCTTGACAAAATCAGCATCCCACGCCTTTAGTTCATCCTCGCCCATCTTTCCCTTGTCCACGTGCTTCTTGCAGTACTCGAGGACCATGGTCAAGATCTCGCTGGTGACGTTGGGGACAGGGATCTCGTTGTCCGCGCAATCGTCTTCGATCATGTGCTTGATCGTCTGCAACTCAACCGCCACCGCTTCCTCCACCTCGAACGTCTCTCCGTCGGAGCTCCTCAACGTTATCTTCTTCGAAGTCGACGCCATTGCTTCTTCTAAAATTCTCACACTGCTAACACGAACCCGAGAGAGGTAACAAAATTCTTAAATATCTCTGATACACTATTAGGACAAAAGAAATCTTATATTCTAAAATTGTATGTATTACAAAAGCGAATGAGGTATATATATATATATATATATATATATATATATATAAGCTTAATCGTAATCATAATCTAATTTTAAGTAACTAATCCTAAGTATAATCTAATTTTAAGTAACTAATATTATTATAGTATAATTCTAATTAAGTTTTGTAGTCTAATTAAATAATAATATTGTACAATAACACCAACTAGAAAATTTATATAATTATCTTAATATAAAGAATAGATAATTAAATTTTAATTAACACTTGAGCATTTGACTTATTATTAGTAAGAGTAAAATCTTCTTCTCAAAAAGAATAAAGTTCAAATCTCCCTTTTTTAAATAAAAAAAAACTAAATTTTAATTAATTAATTATTTTTTATTTCAATAAATAATAATAATTCGATAACAAAACCATGCATGTTAAGGTGTTGACAACAAAGATTTACTTGTTCTTTCTTAGTAACTCCTGGAATCTCATCAATCAAAACAAATGTTCCATAACTAAAAGCTCGTAGGCTTTTAAGCCAATGTTGGATTTTTACCGAATCTAGGCACAAAGAGGTTTTAATACCTGACTTTTATTGCTACGAGTTTGTGTCTTGAGGCAGAGATGAGGTGAGTAGCTCACGCCACATACAGGAACCTTCACTTGTATGATTTTCGAGGTAGTCTTCCTACCAAAGTTGATCTTGTAAAAACCTCTTCTATGCCATAATTTGCTGGTGTGACTTCTCTTGCTCGATGTTCCTTCACCAAATTCTTTTGAAGTCTTCCCATGTGATGGGATCCAATAGTTTTAATGTCATTTTTAATCATTTTACTTGCTGGTAAACAGGGTTGTAGGTAGAAGAAGATAATCAGCTTCCTAAGCTTATTGATAGACACAACTTAGGAGATATGCTACAAGCCACAATCTTGAAGGACTTTGCTTCTGTACTGCCTTATTGCAGAGGGAAAACTAATGGTAGAGAATGGCATTGATAATTTACTTTGACCTTTCAAAATCAAGCAGGGCCTAATGGATTCTATTAGCCCAATATATAAAATATATAAATAATGTATAGAATTTTGCGGATGTAATAAGCTTCATGTTCTTTAACCTTTTGTTTGCATCCAAATAACCAATAAAACTGTAAAAATGATCATAGAAGAAGATTAACATTTTAATGTAAGTAACTTAAAAGAAAGTTTTAATTTGGTATATATATGGAAGGGTAAAATACACTAACGCTCTTAAGTTTTAACCATAAGTCCACATGAGTATATTAGTTTTAAAAATATATAATTTGTCTTAAAATAATATTTTTCATTGAATATATAAATCTAGCCATTTTTTTTAAATAACTACTTAATATATAAGCCCAATTGTAATCGATCGTTAATGTTTCATTAATTTAATGATATAGTAATATTAAAAAAATAATTTTATTTTTCATTAATTTTAAAAATTATTAAATTATAATATTTATAAAAAAAAACTTATACCCTACCTCTCATTGACCTCTCATCCTACAATAGATCGTGCTCCTTTGGATGGGTGCTCCCCAAGGACAACCGGTCTTGGTGCTTCCATGAGTTAACGGCCAGGGTAAAAGAGCATCATCGATTGGCTTGAAAGAAAGAAAAATAGTGAAAAAAGAAAAAAAGTATTTTAGATATTTTACTTTTAAATGTTAACGGCATTCATACATTTATGGTAGAATATTCATTTTGAAAATTAATAAATTTATATGTAATTATAATAAAAAATTAAGAGAGTTAATGTATTTTATCCTGAATTGTAAACATAAGTGAAACTATTTACGATTAGTTAAGATTTGATACATTATAAATTTGAGAGGTTATAAGAAAATAAATTTAAAATATTTATATGTATATGTATTATAAAGAAATATCTTTAAGTATACGTAACATAAGTGAAACATTAAATTATTTATGAAATTGATCTCTTTGAGAAAGAATTTTCATCTACTTCTTTGGAGCCTTGTTTAAAATAGATTAGTGGAACAAGTTTTTGTTGAACCAATTTTACTTGGAATGAGAAACAAGATTGATAAATTTTCGTAAAAGTAGGACGAGTAATTAATTAAAGACAAATATTATCGTGATAATAATAAATAATTGTTGTCTTATTTTTCTCCTTTTGCTTGCGTTTCAATCTTTACAACAAATTAAAGGTTCCCAAAGGTTCCTTTAGGATTTGGAGCCCATAAAAGGACAGGACGGTAGTACACGGCTCGTTACTATGAGAGTTAGAATTTAAGTCCTGTTGAGCTTAAATAATATTTCCATAACTAAGTAGTGAAAACGGGAGGCAGCATTTTCGATCGTCTTCCCTTCACGGGGGATTTCGTGTCAGGAAAATGCCCATCGCCATCGGCAACATCTTCAGTCAAACCATCCACCGTCACGTTAACAGGGTAAGTGACTAGGTGCACTGCTTCCATGTCCACAATTTCTTCGTCATTGGCATAAATTTGCCACATTTGGTCACCCAGTGAACGCACTTTCTGTACACATTCCAGGCCCTGTGGCTCCAGGAATAGGTCATCGGCAAGTCCGGTGTGCTCGTACCATAGCGACATTCGATAGGCATGGATATCTCTGGGAGTTGGGGAATTATTGCTTTCAGGATTTTCTGGCAGCTGGTAGCATCCTATTGCAATTTCTGTGTCTCGTCGCCCGTCCATGGATCTTTGGTTTACGTTCGCAGATCCTATTAGAATGTACAAATCATCCACTGAAAGTAGCAGCAACAAACACCGTTAATCGTGAATCACGATTGGCATTACCTTGTTATTTGCATCAATATTTTAAGAAGAATCTAACTCATGAAATGGCTTAAATATTTGACAATTTTATCAAATGGAAAAGTTAATGAATGGGGCATTACCTATCATGACCTTGGAGTGGACATACACCATGAACCTCCTATGCTTTTGGGCATTCCAGTATTGTGTTGAAGGTTGAGGGGAATAAGGAGGAACGAGCTCTTCTTTGCTCTGTGTTTCCCTGTTTGCAAGACAGAAGAAGTTAAGGTAGTCTCTCGGGTGCCCTGGCTGGCCGCTTTCCTTTATGGCTTCTCCAATCAATTTGTACATCATTGACATTGTTTCTCTAGTCCAGTGCAATATATCCTGAACTGGTTCACTGTCAGGTACTCCTTCAGGCCACATTGGTATCAAAATATACACCGCAAACCTCTCCTTTGCTTTGATTTTGCTTGCCACCTTAAGTGCAATCTCCACGGGAATCAAATTTCTACAGCCAGAGTGCTTATCTTTATCCCATAAATGGCATCCCCCAACGAAATATTGGTTTTCAATGTATATGAACCTCTCCGCCCGCCTTATTGCTTCCACGTAAGCTTCATGGATGCTTTGCTCAACAGTTAAGTTTTTAGACAACTGGCTAACCGAGACATGGTCAATTGATCTAAATACTTGTACCTTCCAATTCCTGTCGTTGGAAATGCTTGAAGCAAAAGGCTGGCGTATGAGATTCGGTATGGAGCTTGTAGGCAATAACAAAGAAGGGTCACATTGCTTCGTCCATCTTTGCTCAAAATTGGCCAGCACATCCCAAGCAGCTTCCCCAGTTATACAGGCATGAGCATCGTGCCATGGTTCCCTTGGTCCTCCTTTGTGAAGGCTGGCTCCGGATATATTTGTTTGATAGAAATCAAAACAATGAGATTCCGTATTAAGTGTGCGAAACAAGGAATGTTGCTCTGTATCATACCGGCCATCGCAAAGATCTACTCCACCAACAAAGCTCATAATTTCCCTATCGTTTACTGAAGAAGTGCTATATGTTCTAGCATCAACAGTTATAGTCTTTTGATGGTGAGCAAAGAGTGTTGGGAACTTATGGTGCAATCTTGGGCATAACTTACATATGACTTTGGTGTGTTTGAAGTACGCAAAAGCATCTTCATCGTGTGTTCTCATCACTCCTTTGTTCTTGATAAATGGTAAGGAAGTTTCATCATTCCAAAGCATAACTCTTACTGCAACACCTTCTTCAGCTTTTCGTTTCAACAATTCACCAAGCTTTATTCCTTTTGCATGTGGAATATTAGTTTGAGGATCTCGGACCTGTTTCAAAGAGAAAACAGATTAGAGAGTAAGAGGAAAGGATTAATTTTGATGGATCATTGTGGCAATATGTTTCATTTACCAGAACCATCTTTGGATTGAAAGACCAGCCTGCAATGTAAATTACATGTTTTGCACCCTCAATGGCCTTGTATACATCCTCCCATAATTTTCTAGGAGTACCACAGAGAGAAAACGGAGGCCGAAATGCAGAGCTATGATGTGCATCTTGATAGAGCATGACATGGCAATTGGACCGTTGAGGAAATGTAGCATTTCTAAGACCGTGGAATCCTCCATATTTAAGTACTTCACCCCAGGTTGGTTCAAACTCTGCTGGTTTGAACCACAACATGAACCTTAGCTTGAGTTCTGGGTTCCTTTTACCATTTTCCATTTGGAGAGGAAAGAACCCGTTGATCAAACTAGCTTCATTTAGTATTTGTCCTGCCTGGATACAGAATTTTCCTAAGATTGAGCACTTGGTTTTCATTGTAATGGTGATGGTTGAATCAGGTGGATGAGCACAGAGAATTTGGAAGGTTTGGTTCCAAACACGATCACGCTCATGGCTTGTCTTTGCTACCTTCTTATTGTCCAGCTTGATGGTCACATAGGTTGGCTTTCCATTTGCAAGTACACACTACAAAACGCATATCAGAATTGCGAAGAAGGAAGAGAAAAAACATGTCAGTATAGCTTCACAAAAGCCTTCAGGTATATAATTGGAAGTTGATATCCTAAGATTTGATCTCGAGATTTCAAGTCTCTCAAGCAAGGGAGATATTAACTCAACCTTAAGAGTGAGAATAACTTCACCACTTGTCACGTGCTATAGTAATCGCGATAAACCCACTACTAATTTCTCATCGAAAAATCTATTTACAGAATTTGCCAATACACTGCAATAAAAAATTAGCACTTACATTCAATGGAAATGGAGGTATATAAGGTGTTGCGTCAAAAATTGTGGCTTCAAGTGTTCCATGGAGGAACTTTTGTTTTCCCTCCATTTCTCAGAACCTTCAAATAGCTATCAAAGAGACAAAGAGACAGGCAGAGAGAAGCTAATTAAATGGTGAGTTTTGTTTTGACATGAAATAAAATTTGTCATATCATCCTCGAGTATTTAAAGGTAGGTGAGGCTGAAGTTGCTATTGAAGAAGCAATGGTAACTTGGAATGCAATTGAATGGGGTTGCCGCCTTGGAAAAACTTGTGAAATTCTCCATTCTTAATCTTAGCTGCAATCACCAAGTCTTTGACAAGTTTTTCACTTGAAGTTGAAGTTCCTTAAAATCAAATCACACTTTTCCCTGCCACAAAAAAGATTGGAACCTTTAGTAGATAGATTACATCTGTTTGAGATCACCCAAGAAACTTGAGGCCACTACATAGATTCAGGCTGACCTGATGATATTATCAAATTTGACAATTTGCGGTAGGTATTTATCTTGTCCATAAATATGGTGTTCTCAGGTTTATATGTGGGAATTGAAATTATGCTGTTTCTCGCCTTTTTGGCTTGGAAAGTTCAATTGCAATTTTTAGACAGCTAATGAATTCATTAATTAGTCAAACACCTTAATCCATTTTGTCCAATTAATTTGAATGAGAAAAGTGAGACCTACTGAAAAATTGGAGGTAAAATAATTTTTTTTTTTGTCTGCTACTTATCCATATAAATAAGTTGGAGGTAAAATAAATTTATACCAACTCACTGTGGGGGTTACTAGCACTTCCTCTGAAGATATAAATCAGTCTTAAAGCATAACTCTCAGCTATAATTATTAGCTTCAACAATTGCAAAAGTGACCTAAATGATTCCATTCATCTGATACTGATAAGCCAAGCTAGCATCTGAATTACAAAACATATGCTATCAAACATTTGTCACATAAACTGACATTCACAAAAATTTGTCCTAACAACAACGTGTTGATCTGCAAAATCTTCCTTCCGACATGCCGATGGCATTTTCTGTTTAATTTGAATCAATATTCCAAAATCTTCCAGCCAATGTGTCACTCTTTCTCACCCACGTGTCAAAACTTGATTGGTTGGTTACAAAAAAGGGTCTTCTAGAGTCCACGTGCGCAGACACTGTGATTCCGGATTTAGCAAAGACACCCGCAAAGGAAGGGAAAAAGCTTGTACAACTTTGCCAGAGCTACAAACATGACACGTGGACGAAGTGGCCGGCCTCGTTGGTAACTTGCCGTCGCTTTACAATTGCCGTCCCCACAACGTTTTGGTGTGGTCTTATCCGCACACGACTCCAACTTATCCTCCTTTGAAGGGTAGTTGGATGTGTCGGCTTCTTAATATTGTAATAAAATAAAAACATTACTACTAAAAAAATATCTAACAAAGTTGTTTAATATCCAAAACTCAGACATGTTACCATGTAGCTCAAGTCCATCATCACCCATAATCTTACAAAATCTAGACCGTTGGACCAAAATATAGTACACTGATTCGCTGGCCAGTGATTCCATCTCACTGAAACAATATGCTCCTAATTAATATTCAGTAGAATGTTCTTCAGAACTGATGTAATTAAGAATAGGGAAGATCTTTTTAAACGATTCAAATATGTTGATAAACTTTCTACCTTCATCTTTAAGAGATAATTAGGAATTTCACTAAGACTATATAATAAGGATGTATATATATAAATATGTCATTAATGTTTTTCTCCTTTTATATATTACCAATGTTTGATACTCAAATTAAGGATAAAAAACGTACATTATTAAATGTACTAACAAACAAATTTGAATTGGCTGGATCCATTTCTTTTATGGAGAAATTAAGAATTACGGCAGGCCCATCCTACATCAACAAATATCTATATATATTAAAAATGAATTTGTTAACAAAAGAAGATATCCAAGAGAGTTACGTTAATGCAAACGTGGCATAATTTGATAGGTCAGAAAAAATGAAATAAAAACCAGCAAATATCTAAATAGTTATGAACCGTGAGATGTGTATGGTAAAGCAATGGACCTCGCAATCACATTATAAACCCACCCATCCCTTCTTCATCATTACTTTATTCCTTAACCCCCGTCTCCCCCACGTTTCCATCGTTTCCTTCACAGTCGCGATCTTCTTCCCCAGAAAAAAGGTCAAACCTTCAAACTTCCAGCCCAAAAACATGACAACCTACGGCACAATCCCGACATCCTCATCGCCAGGACCCTCGACGAACCTCGAATACCTATCCCGAGCCAAGGAACGGATCAAAGAAGGCCTCGGAACTCGACGTCCATGGAAACTCATGTTCAACATCCGCTCCATCAACTTCCCCGGGAACCTCTCCGAAGCCATTTCCAGAGTGAGAACTAACGTAGCTTACTTCCGCATGAACTACGCCATTATCGTGCTATTGGTACTTTTTCTTAGCCTTTTATGGCACCCCATCTCCCTCATAGTCTTCGTAGTCATGATGGCCGCTTGGCTGTTCTTGTACTTTTTGCGCGATGAACCCATAGTTGTTTTCAGCCGTACGATCGACGATCGTGTGGTGCTGATCGTGTTGGGCGTTTTGACCATTGTGTTCTTGCTGTTGACTCATGCCACGCTTAATATTTTGGTGTCTCTTTTGATCGGTGTGGTTATCGTTCTGGTCCACTCTACCCTGAGGAGGACTGATGATTTGTATGATGAAGAATCTGCTGCCTTGATGACTGGAACTGGACCTTCATCTTCTTCATAATTGTGGGTTTCTTTTTTTTTTTGGGGGGGGGGGTTTAATTTGAGTTATTGGTCTCAGTATGATCTCAATTTTTTTGTTTGTTTGTTTGTTTCTAAGTGATCTTTAATTTAATATTGGGGTTAATTTCTTCTTTTAACATTTTTAAGTGCCAAAGATGTTTTGGTTTGATCCCTTAAATCATATAATTGAATTGCAGTTTGCAAGTGGTAGTTCTGAATGGTGTGTAGAGGAATCTGTTGCTCAGATCATCTGATCTTTTTTCTGACGATTTTCTTTCTTTTTTGTTTGGTAATTGAGAGTTTTGTTTCTTCCGGTACTGTGTAATGAGATATGCACCAGCCCAAGCTAGCCATTGTTCTCAGTGAACAGTTGATAATCTTTGGCTAGGTGACTGTATATTGAAACAGTCTGGTATATTGTTCTTGATGGTTGATTTGGATTTTTTCCTGTTTTTGGCTATAATATGGCCTTTCAGTTTCACTCTTTCCATTTTAAGTGGTTTTTCCTTTTTCTTCTATTTTGGTTTTGAATGGTTTCATTTTTGTAGTTCATTTTGAGGAAATGAACTTAGGGAGACTGATGCACTGGCCACTGGGTACATTTTGTCCAGTAAGTTGTGGGCCTTGTGGCCCTGGTGTATAACTAAACCAAGATTCTAGATTAAATAATTGAAGAAGAAAAGGATAACATAATTCATACAATTCACTAGCTGATGATGATGGGTCCTCATGATTAATGGACTGCTTCAATGTCATTGACATTGCTTTATACCGAAAAGTAAAGGCACATGGATATGGTGCGGTAGTCACTAGTCAACAGAGGGAGGGGGACACACTTCTGCTGCAAGATTGAAGGCTTTTGGCATGTGACCGTGGAAGCCATATGTAAGAGCCAAATCTTCATTTGTCAACAAATAGTTTGGGATAATCTTAGCTTTTTCTCCAATGGGTGGAATAATGTCATATTGCTAAGATCCATGATTTGAAAAACCCAATTTAATTTGTTGTTTAACCAATTCTTTTGAATGATCCCAAAAATATAAGGAAAAACGAAGTTAGTCTCACAAAGTGGAAACAAGAGAATCCTATGCCTAGCATCAAGCTGGCCAGCATAATGTTTGCAAAAAGAGGGGAGTTAGTTTAAAATACTTTGCAATGGAGTTTAAGTCATGGGAGTTTCTAGAGATAAAAGTAGGTGCTAAAGGTGAATGTCTCTCTGCATCCATCCAAAGTAATTAGTGGTAAGGGCAATCATGTCCTCCATGTGGATCTCGTGTGAGAGCTATAACTAAGATACCAACTATAATTACAAAATTAATATCGTATTGTTATACTCGAGAAAAAATTTTATTATAGAACTTTTGAACCTAAAAATAAAGACAAAAGCTAAGTGAAGTATAGACATAAATTATTACCCAAAAATGTAGAGACAAGAAATTAAATATAAGCTCATTATGGTATGAATACCAAATGAATGAAATTAAACATAAATCAGGAAGAAGTTAATTAAATATGTTCATTTTTCTAGTCGATATTCTTTTTCGTTTTGGATTAGTATCAATATTCAAGTATAGAAAACAATAAAGATAAATCAAAATCCTAAAAACTATTTGAAAATATGAATTTGGTGTCGTTAACCTTTCTATTTAGTTCGATCGAATCCTTAACAGCATACTTTTATTTGAAACTAATCTTATACTGCAATGTTTGGTATAGGGAATAGTATTCTCCCTCTATTTGATTGACAATTTGACAAGAAATAGTAATTCCCCCACTTTACCTATTCCTCTAAATTAATAAAAAGTCTTCATAATCTTATACTATACTCAAACAATTGACTTATTGATTACCACATAGTCTCCCTTTCAAAAGAATAAACTTCAAACCCCTTTTTCCCAAATTAAAAAAAAAAAAAAACTACCCCTAACCCCTTTGAATTAGCTATTCCATGTTTGATGGAATAGTTTCAAAAATTATTAAAACTAAATTATCTCTCATAAGTTTAGAAATTTACAATCCTACCCATATTAATATTTGTAAATGAAATATTAATATTTTAAAATATTAATAATTAAAATATAAATAAAATATTAATATTAAAATGTTCAATCAATAATATTTTAAATAAATTGTAAATTATTAATATTTAAATAATAAAATAAAAGAAATATTCATAATAACATTTAAATTATAAATAAAATATGAATATTTTAAAGTATTAAAGATTAAAATATAAATAAAATATTAATATTAAAATGTTCAATCAATAATATTTTAAATAAATTGTAAATTATTAATATTTAAATAATAAAATAAAAGAAATATTCATAATAACATTTAAATTATAAATAAAATATGAATATTTTAAAGTATTAAAGATTAAAATATAAATAAAGTATTGATATTTAAATTATCTATTATTAATATTTTAAATACATTATAAACTTTTAATATTTAAAAATAAAATAAATATTCACAATAACCCTAAATTATAAATAAAATATTAATCTTTAAATAATAAAATAAAATAAAAGTAAATAATCATAATAACATTTAAATTATAAATAAAAACTAATATTTAAAAATAAAATAACATAAATAATCATAATAGTATTTAAATTATAAATAAAATATTAATATTTTATATATTAATTATTAAATTATAAATAAAAATTAATATTTAAAAATGAAATAAAATAAAAATATATAATAAGATATATACACCACGAGACCTTCAGATGCCAATTCGCCGTGAGTCTCCGTCAGCTTCCGTTTGTAAACGACATGAAAAAATTGATATTTTGGTAAATTCCAAATAAGAAAAATGTGAGAGGAAAAAATGGGAAATTAAAAATTGAGCTTCCGTCCACTCTCCTCCTCTCGAAACCCCTCGAACTCTCATCTCCGCCGCGGCGGCCGGAGATAACGCCGCCAAGCTATCTCTAGTCCTAGGTGCCTATCAATCTCTCCTAGGAGGCCTCTACAACAAGAATCCAATGGCGCGCCCGCCATACGAGTACGGTCCCTTTTACCTTCAACCTGACCAAGACCGCAACTTGATCAACACGCTCTTCGTTTCGGGGCTCCCGGACGACGTCAAGGCGCGTGAGATACACAACCTCTTTCGGCGACGCGCCGGCTTCGACTCTTGCCAGCTTAAGTACACTGGCCGAGGCAACCAGGTAAATAGGAGTAACATTTATTTTGCAAATCCTTTTACTTGCTGTTCGGTTTCGGAGAAAGTTCATTCATTCTTAACGAGAAATTGCAATAAGGACTGAGAGTTTAATTTATTCTTTTTTCTTGGGGACCATTTGGCTTTAGAAATAGTTTAACTGAATCTTATTTACGTAGAATTTTTATAAGCAATGTGAAGTTCAAGCCTCCTATCTGTAGCCAATTCTGCAGAAGCACATTTGGATTTAATTAAAATAGTTTGCCAACAACAAATGCATGATCTTTCTTTTTATATGGGACAGTTATGTTTGTATTTCTGTTACATTTTAACTATTTGCGCATTTTTTTAGCTAATTTTGAGAAAGCAAAAAACACTTCTTTATTATCTAATAATAATACTGGTCAATTTTTATATTTGTATGGTCTGCATTTTGTTTTATGATCAGATCATTGTTCAATATTTCTTCCAATGTTCTTCGGTAGAAAAAAAAAAACACTGCTAGAAAACAATGATACAAAGGGGAAAAAGAGTAGAAGTTGCTGCCCTTTTATATACTCGTTGATACTTGCTTATTATTTAATAATCTAAGCAGAAATTTATTGTTTGTGTAAAGTTCATTATGCTCTTGCGCATTTTTAAGACTAAAGTCTTTGGGAAGATAATGTAATGGGGGCTGCATCTTGTGATCACAGGTTGTTGCATTTGCAACTTTTCTCAATCATCAGTCTGCAATTGCAGCAATGCATGCATTAAATGTGAGTATTGTCCAGTAATAAAAATACTTGAAGCTTGTGGAGATTTCTATGTCTTTTTATTCTGTTCATTCATTTGATGACCATGTTTTAGGGTGTAAAGTTTGATCCTCAAGCAGGATCTGTTCTGCATATTGAACTAGCTAGATCAAATTCCAGGAGAAAAAGGAAACCAGGTAAGTAATGTCTTAAGCTGTTCTATTGGTTGAAACTTTAATGCTATTCATCTCCAAAACTATCATAGGATGCTTAACTTTTCCTTTCTCAGATAGTGGTCCTTATGTTGTTATTGATAAAAGAACCAAGGCATCAGCCAATACTCAAGAAACATCAAGTGATGATGGTAAGCTCATAAAATTCCTCTCAATCTTTCCCCTTTTTAAAATTGTGGTGAAAAAAACAAAGTAAAACAAAAAATGTTCATATCTATGATTCTACATGAGGGTGGCTCTGCTTCTTCAACATGATCCTTTCATCACCTACTCATGTTAGCATGATTTTCCATATTCAGGAGGCAGTGACACTGAAGAACCATCTGGGACTGACAATGCTAATTCTTCAAGCAAGGGTGATTTGAGAACTGTAAAGAGGTTGAAAGCACTCTGGAGATACATTATTGTTTAGTTTAAAGTCTAATATCTTAAGCTTCTCTATATTAGGCATAAAGAGTGAGAAAAACTTTGTATTACAAGTAAAAAATGAAGGAAGTGCTTTTTTAATTAACCCTGTGAATTTTTTATTGCAGTACTAAATTTACCTTATTGTCTGGTAATGTGCAGTGAGACAATAGTGGATCCAGAAAATGCTGTAGCAGCAGTAAATGTAAGTAAAAACCACTTTATTCTGCTTTCCATCATCATATAAGCATTTGAAGCTCTTTTGTAGCAGGCATATGTGGCTTATTCAAGACAGCATGTGTGTCTCGAATATTTTATCATAGAGGATTAAGTTTGCAAAGAGATCGCAGTCTTTAAGAAAATATTCTAGAAGCACTTTCTTCTAAGTTATTTCTGTCAAATATTTTTTGAACTTGCACTTGATTTTGATGGTTACTGCAGGAGCAGTTGGAAAGGAATGTTGATGAAGGTGCTCAACCATGCTCTACTTTGTTTATAGCAAATCTAGGTCCAAATTGCACTGAAGATGAACTGAAGCAAGTTCTATCTCGGTAAGTTGTGGTGCTAATCATTACATAGCGACATCTTTTGGTTGAAATTCTTTTCCTTGGGAGAATAAAGTTCTGGAGTTTGTATTTTTTTCCTCTAAGCCTGTCCTTACCCCTAATGTCTCTTTACTACACAGAGATAAGAAAATTAGATGACTTCAATTCTTTCTGGTTCCAGGTATCCTGGATTCAATATGCTCAAGATTCGGGCTAAAGGTGGAATGCCAGTTGCTTTTGCTGATTTTGAGGTATCCAAACTTAATGCTGTAACTCATAGGCCTTGATTTTTGATAAATTTTAAATGACCAATGAATCCTGATTCATCACATAATCCATTCAATCTACACACCTTGATTATAATACTATAAATTCATTGACTCTATATATCATTTCACTGTTGAAATTTCTATGAAAAGAGACTCCCATGAAATCATATTTTGCTTTAGCAGAAGTAAACTCTATTTTTTCTTTTGTCCGTATCTCTCTTAATCTTTTTTTGTTCAGGGAAGTCTAATCCTACCATATGCCTTAATAGAACTGAGTGAAGATGTCTGTTTTAAAACTTAAATTATGGAGTGAAAACAGAAAATCAGGAAGATTAGAAAATATAGAATGCAAAATACACCTAATTCCTTTGCAAACTAATATACTCCAAGATTGGTTGATTATGTAAGAAAAGGGTGTTTAAATAAAAGAGAAGAAACCTGAGACAAATGCACATGCTTGTAAATACATGATTCTGATAAATGATATATTTAGCAAGAAAGGCTAAAAGGGTTTCTGTTTGGTTAAAATTCTTGTAGGAAACAATCACACAAAGTGGTGACCTCTTGAATTCTAGAATCATTTATTCTTATGTCACAGCCTTTGCTAAATACATTCTAAGCATCCTGAATTCTTTTGCATCCGTCTTTAGAGGTTTGATCGGTTACCAACTGGTATTCTTTGTTGGGTCCATCAGGACCTAAGGTTGTTATGAAGACGGCACTATGTTGGTTCTATGGTCGTCATGCAAATAACATACTACATTGTCATGTTACATTGAGTGCATGATCTCATTAATCTCTCTCTCTCTGCATCACAGCAAATAGAACAAGCCACAACAGTGATTGTGGATCTTCAGAGCAGCCTGTTACCCTCATCAGACAGAGGCGGCATGCACATAGAGTATGTATAACTGGCCTTACAAATTTTAAATATGTTTGTTTAGCATAGTCTCCTCTCATTATATCAAATGATACATTTTACTGGCTGGTTTTGTAGATACGCAAGGTCCAAGATGAGGAAGCCCTAGGAAGAAGGGAATGAGCTGGCAATTTTCAAGATTGTCCTGCTGGCCATTATTCCAGTTGTATTGTAAAAAGGCATTGCCTCATGTCCGTTTCTAAAGGATGAGTTCAATTTTCCAACTTTGTAAAGGTGACAGGACTTCTTATTTATGGCTAACTTATTAATATTATTACCTCTTTTATTTTGCTTTTCTCATCTTCTTCTACACCACTCTGTTCTCCTAAATCTGTGCTGAGCACCCCAGGCAAAAAAAAAAGGGCAGATTTCAGTACATTTGTGAAATGGATACAAGGCAATTCACCAGGTAAAAAATTTGTCCAATCTAAATAAGAATGACCCGTTTTTGGTAGCATCACATTGGAAAGTGAAACTTATTTGACGTGGGAAAACACCCACAATTCAGCCGTAGTTTAAGTTTTGAGCAAAAAATGTTGCATTGGGGATGACAGCAGGCAGGCAGGCGGTTACAGGATTTATGAGCGGCTGTGAAACTCTGGAGGCTGCAAAAGACGGTATTTCCCAACCTTGACCCGTTGAGCATATATTTGTGGGAATATCCAGAACGGGGCTGTAAAAGGTGAGTCATTTTTGCAGAGACAGGGTGAAACTCAGGGATAGCGTAGACGACCGACCTGAGGATAGGATCCAGTCGTGAAGGCTACACAGAAATTTATGACAAGGGGAAGCATCTTCCGGGGAGACATCACTTTCAATTATTCAGAAGATGGCGCTTGTACGTTTCAGTCTAGAAAAGAGAGAGATATGATGCACATTGATCATCATCAATGTTCTGTTATCAATTAGAGGCGAGGTGAGGACAAGGAAACCAACCAACTTGTCCTTGTTGATAAGAAAAAGAACCCTGCTTGACTGTTTAATGGCCTGCCTGTCTTCTGCAAATTTCTCAGACTTGTCATCGGGAGAAGAGCAGGGTAAGTTTTCATGAAGTTTGAAATTTCAAAAGAAAGAAATTTACAGGTTAGACAAGGATGTTTCACCCTCACCCTCCAGTCGAATGCTTTTTACAGTCAGTCTCATGTTTTCCTAAGTTTTGTTTGCTTGTTGATGCAAGACAAAAACCTCAGACCACTTTTGGCTGCTAACAAATATCAAATATGGGAAACCACCGCCTTACAATCAGGTGTCAAAACATTCAACTTTTGCCCTCCAACAAGATTCAAAAGACCTGTCAACTGTCCTGCCATTCACTATCAAACAAAATCACAAACCCAGAGACACGTGAAAGAGGGAGAGAGAACCATATGATATTCCTCAACCTGCTTAATTGATTTAATTAGAAGGCATATTCACCAACCATCGCCATTTCCAAAAAGAATTACAAAAACCCTATTACCCTTGCTTCCAATACTAGTACTATACAAAAGCAAAATGAAGATGGCATTGGAACAAATGAAAATATAACAAAAAAGGCCACAAATATTTTCAGCATACCATGCGTGTAAAATAAACTCGAAAGCTGAGCTTTTTACAAATCATCTTCACAGGACTTCCTCCTGGTTCCTGGCCTTAGCCCTTCCAGGGAGAGCTTCTCACTGAACCCTTCCAATGCCTCATTTACCAGAGGTCCACTGTAATGCTGTTTTTGCTCTACCCATATCCGCCCACTGCGGTTCCCCACATCATATCCTGGTGATGTGTAATTTGTGTCCATGAGCATGTCGCCTTCCAATATGCGGAGCACCTGTTCCAAAATAACATTGAACCAATCAGAAAAAATTTCTGTTAATTTATTCCACAGTGACTTAAAATATCAAAATCTCAACAGGGAAATTTTGTAACCCGAGTCCCTCCCTTCCAAATGCCCATTACACTCTGACCACATGATCTGATATTTGCCATTTGTCTTCCATTCCCAATAATTAATCAGCAAAATAGTCCTCCAGAAATTTAAACAATTGGAGCCAAAAAATTGCTTTCAATAAAACTTTGAAAGGTAAAAAAATGTTGTGATAAAGTAAAGTTGTGTGGAGTTCCCACTGATTTAAAGGCTACTAAGATCTATATAAGAAGCAAAAAATGTCTGGTATAACAAATTAGACTCTGCTGTACAAAGTTTCTCATTACCTGTGACATGCGAGGCCTAGAATGGGGATCCTTCCGTATGCATAAAGATGCTGCATGAAGCATGCAATAGACCTCATGTTCTGAATAGCAATCACCCAATCTTGGGTCAACCAATTCATCTATAGCATATTCTTCCAAAAGTGGACGTGCCTAATCCAGATCATAACATATGCAATAAGTGACAATAAACCAACAAATCCACGGAATATAAAACATTAAAAAAGAAAAAGAAAAACTAGTATTGCCCCTTCATTTGTAATGGCAGAGTTAGTAATATGTAATTTATATATTTTTCTTAAAGTTACACAGGAGAAGACTAGTAATTTGCAGCCAGATATACAAGCAGTGTTTTAAAAGCACACCCATTCAGTTAGACATTGCTGGCCCTTTGGCCTATTAAGGTCCACAGCTTTTCGTCCAGTAACAAGTTCAATTAACACCACTCCAAAGGAATAAACATCAGCTTTTTCTGTGATTTGGCCACTTTGAGCATATTCCGGTGCCAAATACCTATACCACAGCATAAACCATTAATGGATTCAGCAATTGCATTGGGAAGGTAAATTGGAAAGAGAAGTTGTCATTTAAGATTTACCCAAATGTTCCGATTACTCTTGTTTCCACGCCAGTATCACCATCAGGCTGCCATCTTGCAAGGCCAAAATCACCAACCTATGAAAACAAAACTGAATCAATACCTGCAGATACAACAATATAAGGAAACCCTAAAGAGGTTCACTAACACAAATGGCTTCTTCTAGAATCCATCTAAAAGATATTGTAGGCAATAGAATATATCGCAAATTAAATGCAAACAGAGCCAAAACTTATCAAAATTTGAGCATCAAAAAACTTCTTTTTCATAGTTTGTGTATCAAAAATATTTTAGTAGAACAAGAAAAATAAAGGATCCTGACCGATGTCAATGCAAGAAACAATGAATAGAGCTTTTAGCTGTAGATTCAAAATTGACAACCATGCAGAAAAGTTAAAAGTTTGCATACCAAAGGTTCAAAATCATGGGTGATGAGAATGTTGTTCGGCCGCATGTCACGGTGAACGATGCAGCCAACTCTGCATTCTTCATGAAGATATCTCAGACCTCTAGCAGCTCCTACAGCAATCTTTTGCCGTGCAGACCATTCTAAAGGTTCCCGGTGACACCCTGAAACACATCAAATTGATGGTACATTCAAAACCATGGTTGCTAGATAGAGATAAGCATATTTAAGTATGATAAACTTTTACTTTTCAAAACTTGATTGTAGTTATGTTAAACCTATAACTACAGCTATGACTAATTTCAACTATCAGTGGTTTTTGAGTTTTGCATTTGTTTTCCCTTAACAGTCTGTTTTGGGGGGCAAGTCAGAGAGGAGTAATAAGGGGTTCAGACAACACTTTGTCCAATTCAAATATCAAAATCCAAACAGTTAGGAAAATACATCATCATTAAACAAAGATAACAAGCCCTTTTAAGTCTCAGAGCCATCATCGCACAATCTTTGAAGGGACCATATATGATGACTATATCAACCACAGGAGCAAACCAATGATCAGCACATTTATATTGGTGTTGGGTTAGATCGGAATAAAGATTCTATTCTACTTAATCAGAAAGAAATACCATATAGATGAGAATCTAGGGATCCATTGCATATGTACTCATAAACCAGCAGCCGCCTTCTATCCTCAATGCAGAACCCAATAAGCATAACAACATTCCTGTGCTGAGCACAGCTGAGGACTTCCACTTCTGAGCAGAACTCAAGATCTCCCTGAGAACTTGCCAATTTGTGTTGCTTGACTGCAATTGCCTGGCCATCTGGCAGTACTCCTCTATGAACAGACCCAAACCCACCCTCAGCCAAGAAATTAGCTTGTGAAAATCCACCAGTTGCAAGCTCCAATTCAGCATAGGTAAACCATCTTGGGGGTTTTCCAAAAACAGGTGCCTTATGCTGACATATTGAACACAATGGAGGAGGGCCAGGAGGGGCATTTCTCGATAATGAAATTGCTTCTCTCACATTTCCACTAAATTCAGTATCACTCCTAAAGCTTGATATTCCAATTCCAGCTTCTCTATCAAGCTTTGAAAATTTCTCCAGCAAAGCTTTTGTTGTTGAAGCTTGAGCCCTGTCATTAGCTCTACCTGAAGTTTCTTCTAGGTGTTGTGAGGATCGATGATGAGAAGTAAGATATTCTGTTATCCATGGTTGGAACCTTAAACTCGCTGAAGATAAGGATAAATTTTCACTCTCTGTGTCTGAACTAGACTCATCAAGATCCTTATTTTCCTTAATGACAATTGATTCCTCTTTCTTCAGGTCTCCATTCCCTTCTGAGATGAAAAAAGGTGAAGTCCCTGGATCAGAGCTTGACACTGAAGAAGTTCCTGCTTCAGTAGCGGTAAATGATGTCCCTAGCTCTGGACTACTAGTTGGAGTGACAACCGGGCCTCTAATAGAATCAGACAATCCTTTTTTGTTTTTGGGATGCTTTTCAGACCTTTCATCCATCTCAGAATTTAATTGACAAGAAGCATCAGCTTCCTTCTTGGGTGATCCAACCAGATTTAGGCGGAGAACTTTTGCCTGTGAATGCTTCATAACCACTATGTTGCATTGCAACTCCTCCATGCAGCGTTTTTCCTCGTTTTTGAGCTGCCTGGAAAAAGATGGAGATATTGAAGGTGCGAATATATATACCCTTTTAGATAGAACATAAAGGAATATGGGGAAAGACAAAAAAAGGAAGAAGAAACAGAGCAAACAGGATGTTACTTGTCCAATACAACCCAACTAGCTTGGGCTAACTTGGCTTCTGCAGCTACCGCTCCGCATGGTGATCCGGAAACAATTTTTATCTTGACATTAATCTTGAAATTATATTGGGAACAAAGCATTAGCAGGCCAGGACGCTGACATAAAACAAAAATAAAGTCATGCAGCAAGAGCCAGGTATTTACCTTGTTTGGATCATAAACATCATGGAGCTGGAGGATCATTTGGGAGCAGGAATCAGTGATATCAGATTTCTGCTCTGAACTTGATCCTGATTGAGACTTCCGGCTACCACTGGCGCAGTCCCCAGCAAATCTAGGAAAA